CTGCTGTGGTGGGGAGGAAGACAGGTAGTAAGGAATCGACCTCCTCGACGACGGCAGGAGCTAAGAATTCCAAGGTCATGAACACCGCAGCGCTAGCAGCATCTTCTGAGTCGATATTGAGCCGCATTCTAGATGTAGATGGGCAAGGTAAAACGATGACTGCTGGCAGTGCAAAAGAAGGCGCCGCCCCTGCTCCAGAAGGGGACGAAACTACAAAAATAGCAAATCTAGTGGACGATAAGTATAGTATTAAGGCTCAAAACAATTCATTTCTACAAGTCATTTCTTGCAGTTTCCTTCTTGGGATTCTGAAGAAATGCAGGCAAGAAATGAAACGCTTTGAGCTCTAATAGTAGTAATACAGAAAAAGCGAATGGCGAGATCAATGTGAATGCACCTCCCGGCACAACACTTCTCGGCATTGCGGTGGTAAACAATGATCGCAGCACAGCAGCAGCTACGACCGGCACAATTAGTACGAGCAGTAGTCCGAACGGAAGCGAGCGTATAACTAGACCTCCATCTTCGATGAGTAGGCAGATAAAGGGCAATACTCGCATTTCTCTGGCGAAAGCGCACTTGAATTTGACTGCCGTAGCAGATCATCAAAGTCTCGATTTGCACCTTGACGATACAACTTCTAAGATAGCTATCATAGATCGGGAAAGGGCGACAGCTTCTGGATTAGCAGCTGGCGGAGTTGTTAGCTCAGTAGTAGCAGTAGTAGGGAGTCCAGCTCCAGCAGCAGTCAGGCCAGGTACGACTGGCACAAGTCAGCAAGGAAAGAGTCCTGTAGTACCTGAAGATACGGTTGTGGGCAAGACTAGTCAACAAGGGAAGAGTCGTCTTGTAGTACCTGAAGATACGGTTGTGGGCAAGACTAGTCAACAAGGGAAGAGTCGTCCTGTAGTACCTGAAGATACGGTTGTGGGCACGACTAGTCAACAAGGGAAGAGTCCTGTAGCACCTGAAGATACGGTTGTGGGCACGACTAGTCAACAAGGAAAGAGTCGTCCTGTAGTACCTGAAGATACGGTTGTGGGCACGACCACCAGTCAACAAGGAAAGAGTCGTCCTGTAGTACCTGAAGATACGGTTGTGGGCACGACCACCAGTCAACAAGGGAAGAGTCCTGTAGTGTCTGATGCTGAGGGTCATCTTCAAGAAGGCTCCGCACAAGGTGGCGTAGTTCTAGACCAGGTGGAAGGAGCACGAGAGGATCGAGGCAAAGGGAAAGGAGGTAGTAAGATTTCGAATCCATCTCTTTCGAATCCTACTGCCGAAGACAACTTAAGAGTAGGTTAAAGGTGTTCTTGTTACCGTTCGTTTTGCCTTCCTGAAGGGGGAAAGGCATAACGAACGGGGTAAACGAACACCAAAAGCCTACCTCTAAACAAAAGGTCCGCTAGTAAAGACGGAGCAGATTATCCCACCGAAGCCACAGCTCCACAAGCGGCGGAGGTATTGCCTTCATCTACTTTAGGTACAACTACTTCACCTGCTGCTACAACTTATGCTCCTTACAAGGAAGGCCATGAAGATGTAGTGAGCGCTTCACAAGGAGATGTAGTGAGCGCTTCACAGGAGCGATTGGCAGCTGCTTCAGAAGAAGAAGCTGGAGACGATAATGGGAGTCCTGTTGTCGGGACAGGTGTTGAAGGAGGCTCTGTCGAAGAAGTCTCCACGAACACGACACTGACGCGAAGATCTTCGTTCGGAATGAAGGATAGTGCTGCTGCTAGTCTCTTTTTTGACGGGAAGACGGCGACGGGAGGAGCGAATGGGAAGACAGGAGGGACAACATTCACATTGATATCCTCAGCTACAGAGGGTAGTACAGTTACAACAACATCCTCTTCAGCCACAACAACTACAGCCTCTACGAGTAGTAAAAGTACTACGGCACTAGCAGGTGTAGCGCCTACCACGGCATCGCCTCCAAGAGACAACAAGAAAATTGTTGGACATCAAGAAGATGACCCCACTGAAGCTGCCTTGGGTTCGCCGAAGCGAGTGTCGTTTAGCGTGCACGGGGAAGAGACGACGACAGCGATTGAAGGTGGACCCTCAACACCTACAGCAGTGGATTATGGCTCTTACAACCTTTTGATGCCCGATGATATTGAGTCGTGGTGGACTCTTCTAGAAAAAATTATTTAGATTTTACTAGAAAAAATGTAGAAGATCGTAGAAGATCATGTTCTTTATCTTCATTGCCTCCTATCATATTGTCTCGACTTCAGTCTGGTTTAGAGATTTTTTTCTGCGTTTGCGTCTCACCAACGCGACTTCATCTTCTAATTAGAAAATGCGGTGGCGCTTGGGGCACGATCGCCCCAGCCCTCCAACCGGGTTAGCCTCAAAAAACGCACGCCTTCACGCAAGGAGGACAGAAATCTTTTTATGAGACACTGATTCACTTGTCCTCTTTCAGAAACTCGAAGAGGAATAACGACTTCTCTTTCTGCTGCATCTTACTTCCCTATAATTTGCATGTTTCCTTCGGCGGACACGCGAATTGCAGTCTTATACCTCAAATAGCTCCTCCACAAGACACAACTCAACATGTACACCCACTTCAAGCACAGGGCTAATAATGAAGCATACATTTATCTCTCATGATCATCCTCGGTTAGTCTCTCATCATCTCCAATCAATTTCTTCTAATCAACATGCGTCTACGAGTGTGGATTCACAGTCACCCGGTCAGCAGATACGGGCCAGTCGTACCGCGTTTTTGCGTTTCAGTACGCGAATGTTGCTCCGCTCGTGCATGCTCGAGCGTGCAGACGGTTCGAGTGGTGCTAGTAGTGCAGGGGCAGTTTATCGGGTATAGTGCTAGTAGTACTGTTTATCGGGTACTTTTTCTACTCGAGTCACTTTTTTCCATTTTATCTTGTAGAATATCAATATAGGCATTCTTGTTGTCGCGTATAAGTACTACAAACATGATCTTGGTGCTGACTGACAGACAACATCTTCTGACACGGGAAAACAAATTGCTAGCTAGTTCTATACATCAACATATATACAGATATCTGCCGTTTTGCGGCATTTTCTTGATATTGCTTTACTCGATAGAGGCACAGACGCGGAGCGGAGAGCCATGATAGTTTGGGAAGCTTATTCGGCTTTAGTGGCTCGTTTCCTTGTTTGGGAATTGGCAGTAAATCAAGCTTATGAAGGAGGAGTTGCATGCACTTTTTACTAGAGGTTGATGAAGTAATAAAGCTGTAAAGTAGGTACTAGTTGATGTTTTATGAAGCAGCTCCTGTGTGCACTTTTTAGTAGTTGATGTTGTAGGTATTTTTCAAGTACAGTCTTCCTAGAAGAGTATGTCTCCTAGAGTAGGTTTCGTAGAGCATGCTTCCAAGAGGCCATCTAGCGTACTTTTCAACCCCATCACTCATACCTCTGCCTCTCCTGGCCTCTCACTCTTCTCCTGCATATTCTAAGTCTACCGAGATCATGCTGGCCTTCCTGGATCTGCGTGTGAATTTTTCTGTGCCTGTTTTCCCGCAGAAGAGTTTTCTGATGAAGACAACAAGCAAAATGCTGTGGGGACTACTGTTAAGAATAAAGACTTTTCATGATTAAGTAGCAGAGGTCCAATTTGGTGTCCTAAATAAACAACGAACTAATGGTTGTTCCTTAATTAGCAGCCGTTGTCAGGTTGTCAGGGCTGCTTTATTTATCATAGTCCTCTAATCTTATGAAGTGTACAAAAATGTAGGTCAAGTTCAAGCACTGAGAGGTCTCTGCTTCAAAGCTTATTATAATCCTACAAGAATTCCTAAAGAGGTTAGGAGTTCGTTCGTAGTCCCTAAAAATTGCAACATTAAAGTGCCTCTGAGTCTGACTGATAAGAGTTGAGTCTTTGTCATCGCTTTTCTGGTGGATTCCAACAGTGCTTAGAGTGAGAAACCCCTCTGAAGGTGCAACGTCGGCTCAACTCCTATCGCCGGGTCCACTCCTATCCTATCCCTTTAAATAGCGTTGACACGTAGTCAGGCTGCTGCTTTAACTCGTATAGCAGGTAGCAATCTTTTTCTTTTGATGTTTCACTACTATCTCTATCGCAAAAATATCATCTAAGTACTTCTACAACAAGATGAAAGAAAGGCAGAGTGTTCTTTTGAGCGTAGTGGATACGGAGTTTGTTACCAAGCAAATAGTACCCAGACTCTGGCATAGGATGCTGCAGCAGTTTGAAATCATCTTTGCAGAGGAAACGGGGAGCACGGTGGTCGCAGGACATATTCCTTATGGTGGTAGTACTATTTATGTTGGACCACAAGAACACAGGCCTCCGCGCCTTGGTTCGTTTCTCAGTGGAAACACAAAGTCAGAATCTTGAATGCAAGCAAATCTTGATACTCCTGCCTGAGACTTGCGATCTCTGGCTGGTGTAGTCCCTTTCTGGTTCATTGGGTGAGATGAATCATACATCAGCAACGTAAGCATGTCAGAAGGGATCGGGCTGAACATGCATCACACGACTAGGATCAGTACAACCGTGCCTAGCCTACGCCTTGACCATTATGATTATGCATTGAATGCACATTGAATGTGCATTGGAAGTAGCATTCATGATCATTGACATTCGTGTCTTGTGAGATCATCCCGATGACAGTCGAGCACGAGACTTGGCGTGAGCCACTGAGAACAGAACAACACGACATCCGAGAGGCTTGGGCCATACATGACCAACACCCCTCCTCAATCGATGCGGGTTGAAG